ACGGGGCCCCAGGCCGGACAGGGAGCTGGGCAGGGGGCGGAGAGCTGAGCGTGCGGGGTCTGCCATCCCCGCAGCATGCGGCGCTCGGAGCACACGGGGGCGGGCCTGGGGGGGCGCTTCCCCACACTCTGCTGTCAGTTCAGCGAGGGGAGGTTGCCAGCCTGCGATGACAGCCGGGAGAGAGGAAGCGGCAGGGAGCAGGCTGGCCCCAGGCCGGACAGGGAGCTGGGCAGGGGGCGGAGAGCTGAGCGTGCGGGGTCTGCCATCCCCGCAGCATGCGGCGCTCGGAGCACACGGGGGCGGGCCTGGGGGGGCGCTTCCCCACACTCTGCTGTCAGTTCAGCGAGGGGAGGTTGCCAGCCTGCGATGACAGCCGGGAGAGAGGAAGCGGCAGGGAGCAGGCTGGTGTGGTGAGTTTCCCTCTGATCCCAGGGCTTAGGCTTGGATTGAGTGCGGGGGAAGTGGGGGAAGGAGTTTGGGACAGGGTTTTGCGTGGCATGTCGGTGAGACCTTGTGCCCATAAAGCCGCACGTGGGAGAAATCTGGAAAGGAGAGGGGACGAGTCCGGTTGGTGAGAGAATCTCAGCAGGTTGCCCTGCCTTTGGGGGACGGAGTGAATTAGCTGGCAGCTTTTCACCAGTCCCAAGGAATGTAGTTGGCAGCAAGAGATACCAAAGTAAAATATGCATGACAACTAAAGGGAGACATGTATAGCTCTCTCCAGAATATCTGGCGTGTCATATTATGGAGAAGGTGCAGGGCTTAATTTGTAATTTGTAATGAGTCCTGCCTGGACTCTGACTTTGTTTTAACTTTCATCACTTATACACTGATAGAGGTATAGAGGCTATGAAGTGCCAAGTGTAGAGGTGCCTGCGCAGCCCTGGCAAATCCGGACACAAATTAACCACTGGGCAAGTGTGTTTGAAAGAAACATTTCTTAGGAGTTAGTGAGGTGGTTTTTAAACCTGGAAAGTTATGTCTCATTTTAAGGATGGAAGGAAGCCAACTCCTCTCTTCCCCCTTTTCTTTCCCAGGTACACGTTGATAACCTACACACTATTGCCTAATGCTTTAAATAAAAGTATTTTATGCATTATTGTTAATGGTTACTTGCATTTGGTAGTTATCAAATCTACACTGTGACCAAAAATCACATATATTATCTATACTCAGGCACATAAGTGCAAATACATAACTGAAGATATCATAAGGATAGGACAGACTATTTCATAATAAACATCTTGTTTACTTGCAACGGGGGTAGCTGTTAAAGTCTATAAAATGTTAGAGGAGGTAAGAGTTCTTTTTGAACAAAACCTTGCTCTTTTGAAATATCAGCTAAAGCAATTTTGTACTTGAACTTGGTGATCTGAATCAGGAAATTCTTATCAGGCTGACAGCATTTTTAGACTATGCAGTGCGTGGGTGAAGTGGGACTAATATTGACTTGGCCCTAATGTAGTCATCTGAGAATACATTTTTTGGTTGTTGCTGCATTCCATAAGGTTTTATCATTATAATCCATGAAAATTGTTTTCTCCGTACATGGGAAGTGACTCCTAATATCAACTTGCCTGGGAGACACAAATATGGGCAAAAACATTAAAATTCCTACTGAATGTTATTGTTTACTTTTTATTTATTGCCATGTGTATGTATGAAAGAGAGTTTTTGCAGAAATTATATGAATCATGTTCACTGTCAATAGGAAAGTTTGGTGTTTTTATCCATTGCTACATGCTTTCAAATTGATTTTTCAAATCTATGTCTGAGCTTACCAAATGGAAGACTCTAACTTGCCTTGTAATTTTAGCTTTTACATTATTTCTGGTTTCTGTATTTATTAAGTCTAAAAATATACATGGAAAATAAAAATACTCCTTTTGACTGGAAGAACTAAAAGTATAAAATTAGGGTTGAAAATGGTGGTGCCTGATTTGGGTGTATTCTTCTTAGAGTTTTGGTGTAATGTACACAGTACTTTTATAAATAAATACATTACACTGTCATTATCTTTAAGTAAACTATAGTTTGATGTAACTATTCCTGCTATTTTATTCTTTAGATTGTGATTGTCTTCAAATGATGGAGAGAAAAATGGTTTTGCATTCTGCATGTAAAGATAATCAGAGGTTTTAAACATCAGTGGTTTGCTCATCCATTAGAAGTTCCGCTAACTATAAAATGTCCTAGAAACACCACAGTGAAAGTTTAGTTCTAATATCATGTTTCATTGATAAAGAGAATTGTTGTGCCAAGTTATTTTAATGCTTTAACAGTAAAAAGGATGGTATTAAATACACAAGAAGAGTGAACATAGTTGAACCAATACAATTTATGGGTTACTGCAAATACAAAACATGCTCTTTCTAGGATAGTTACATCAATGATTTGTTTTGAATCTGTTCATCTCACTTGCACTAGCTTTCCATAAATAGTTTACACTACTTCTATTGGAATAAGAGGGTTCCTAATGAACTGTTGAAATTCAAGCAGTAGGACTAGAAAGTAGAACAGTTCTATAGCTAACCAAACTAGGAATTTTGGACATTCTAACAGCTGTGAAGTTTGGAGCAGCTTATACATTTACTTTGTTGTGTCCTAAGATCCAGTGCCTAAAAATAAAACATAAAAATTATATAATAGGCTTCTCTTCCATCTATACAATCACAGAGAAGTAAATTGTTGTTCAGACGGTATTAACACTGCAGAAAACACCCAGATTCTTTCAAAATCATATTCCCAGGGATATTCTCCCAATCAAGCAGTTTGACCGCTTAACACTCCTTAATGCTTTTTTAAATGTATAATTATTGTTGGATTTTTATTCCTCCTTTTTCGTTTATTATTTAATGCTCTTCTAAGTGCTTGCTAAAGATGAGAACTATTTAAAGGAGATTTCTTCTTTGCCAGAATTTTTAAATCATTAATGGGACATCTTAAAAACAAAATTATATATTAGAGCATCCTTGACATTTTCAAGAACTCGACCTGCCATTTCTAATGACCCAACACAACTGTTGATGTCTTTGCTATTCAATTGGGAGTAAAAATATAATTTTTTGATAAAGACTAATCTGTACTGCATTCCTTTTGGCCTTGGAGTTTCATATTGCTTACAGGGTGTTGGTGGTATGTTCCTTTTGCTGAAGTTTAGGCATCTGGAAGGATTTGGGGGAGAAATAAAATCTGTGTGGCATACAGAAGCTTCTGTGCTTGCTTTTGCTGTGAGGGTTGCATCTTTTAATAGACTTAGCCAGTTCCTCAGCTAAAGATACTAATCTGTTTTACACAAGATGAAGATCTAGCCAATAATAATTATATGGAAAGGTAACCCTCACTTTTTTTTAGTGGTACTATATAGGTGTGTTAACAAGTGTGCTTTTGGCATACCACTAACTGTTATCACATCTGTGCTGTTAAGGGATTTTGAAGATACTTTTTTTAAAAAGTGGAATAAAAATGCAATGGAATCGTCTTTTAAAGTTATCCCATGATTTAAAATTTTGGAATATCATGTATTTGTTGCATGTAAACATGGAATCTTAGATTTATTTTTTAAGTTCTTTAAGGGTAATCCCTCTGCTTTTTTATATCTGTATTTCTGTGTGCCTTAAAATCAGTGTAGAATTTCTGAACTTTCATAATTATATAGCCAAAAAATCCCTTGATATTAAATTAATGTGCTATGGGATTTTTAAAACTGCTTATGGGGATTAGAACCCAACACCCATTAACATTCAATGGAGTTTGGGTCTTAACATCCTTGGGTTATGGGGTTGTTGTTTTTTTTCATTTCACCTAGATCCAGGGCATCTGTCCAAGAAAATGGATGGGATTCACATATATGCATGTATACACATGCTAAGTATCAGGTTGAATAAGTGAAAATGAGGTACAACCCTGAATTATGCATCTTGCCTGCATATTGAGTTTTTCATTTATCCACTTGCGAAAGTACCAAAAGAAGTTGAAAATGCACTGTATATGTGTGAGACTGATATTCTAGGGATATATTGATCTTAGTATTGTGTGGCCAGAATCCGTGCTTATAGATTCCACAATATTCAAGATATTAAATATGTCTTCTTGTTTTTATCAAAAGTCTTCCTCAGGATCTGATGCAAGTCCAATGGGAGCCTTTCCACTAACATCAATTTTTTGAGCAAACTCATATGGCTCATCTTTAAAAGCATCCTCCAAGCATACATTATATAGTTGGCCAACTCCTGCCACAAATTGTGTATCATGCAGTTCCATCATCATTGGTATATGGGCTGGCATGCTATATTCCTGCTTTTGTTGCTAGAATGAGTTTCTTGCCAAGTCTTTTCAATATAATAAGTAATATATGGCCCCTCTTATTCTAGTCCTCTGAATTAGTAGTTTCTTACTCCTTCAGCCACTTTCCTGATCAACACAGCATAGTGATAAAGGTAGTTAATCACGTCTTGACATTTTGACTGAGATTGCCAACCAGAGTTTTGGAGCCTCTCCATTTCTCATGGGCCACCAACGTATTGTCGGGTGATACCTACTTACATTCACTCCATCTCAAATGAGATTTGAGATAGTGGCCCAAAAACAGAGGTGCAGTATCCTCTGTCAGTATTTTTCCCACCCATTGTCCCTGTAGAAAATGTATTATCCCTAAGTATATATTGCTTAATTCAGATACCTACATCCTTCCACAAGAATAGTTTATTAATTTATTGTATATGGCCACTACTGCAACATATTTTTTAACAAAGGATATTTTTAACTGTTTCATTCTCAGTTCTCTTTTTTTCTGCATTGTTGTTGATAATCCAAAGGTTCCGGTAAAAAAAGATTACACTAAATTTGCAATGAAGTGTTATTCTCCATATGTTCATCATCTCCTTGCTCACTCATTTGCAGTTATAATAATTAGAACTTCATATTTTGAGAATCTTTTTTTCTTGTTTTGTTAAATGCTTTCTTATTTATGTAGAGAAGACCTTTTTTTCCATAGAGTTGCACCCACGTTTTTTTGCTACAGTTCCTTTTGGTGGCTTCTGCTAGAATGATAGGCCTTTTACTTTTGAGGGGGTTATGTGCTGTTTCATCAGTCTTACTGCACAAGATATTTTCCATTTATACTAACAGAAAGTTTAGTTATTTCAGCTTACTTTCTTGATCATAGTGTGTTTATCCAAAACTCTGAATGCCCATCCAACCTGAACATTAACATTTAAGGCTCACTTGTTATTAATTATTTGCTATAGAATTTTTTTTTTAAACTAAACATAGTAAGATCTAAAAATCAAGAACCTCATTTCCTCCTCTCCATAGGAAGGGCCTGCTTGTGAATAGATGTAAAAAATAATGGAGGCTTTTGGTTTATTCAGCCTACTCTGTAAGGCTAAATTTGTCCAGAGATCCAAGG